ATACATCTGAATGTCCTTCTTCTCATAGAATCTCTTGCTGTCCCCACTCAACATTGGGGGGCTGCTGATGTGTTGGAGAAAAGAATAAATAAGAGAGAGAAGCTACCGGTTGGGGTTCCAAAGTTGCCCATGCTGGTTATGGTTGAGAGCTCGGAGCTGTTTCTGACAGATTCTGGTCAGGCACCTTCTTGGCTCCTGGGATATCAGACTTATTTCCCAGAGTCTTAGAGTCTTGGTTATAGATTCTGTTTTTGCGCAGACCTGGGATCCAGGAGCTGAAAACATTGTGGGTTGTGCCTTCTCCTTTCTCACTCAGTTTATCTGGGTAGGGCACTAAGGCTGTTATGATGATATAATGCACCGGGGGGAGGGGGAGATGCAATAATTCCACGGTGGGGAGGGGCAATGCCTCAGGGACCCTGGTACATGGGGTGTCTCCACCACATTAGTTGTGCAGTTGAAGGCAGGGATGCCCTGGCACCAAGGAGAGGGGCATCTCTTAGCTCCTCTTGGTTGCCACAGAGTTGCTTCTTGCTCAAGCCCACATGACCAAGGACAGGGTCACTGTCCCCCACCAAGCAGGAGGTTTCACTTCTTGAGCACCAAACACGGGCATGGGATGCATCTCTCCTAGGGATTCCTGAGGCCATTGTTTTTGGGGCTCCTCGCATACCCGCATCTATTTGCACCAACATGCTCTGCAGGATGGCCCATCAGTGGGCCTCTCCCCTTCCAGGCTGCTGGCATTAGAGGAATGCAGACCTCAAGCTCACCAGAAACTTTTACCTCCACTCTTTTCCTCCCTCCTCCATGACTGTGGCCGAGGCCACTTGGATCCCACTTTCTTCAAGCAACACGTGCTCCCAGGTCCCACGAAGAGTGAAGGTTCTCTTGGTTACTTCCCAACTGACCTAGAAATGAAAAGTCATTATTGAAACTCCTCCATCCAGGGAGCCCACACTCAGAACACAAAGGATTCTTGGGCCAGGGGAGAGAAAAGCACCTTAAAGTTATACCTGTAACAGGGAAATGCAAATGTAAGTTAATTTCTCAATCAATTCCCTGCTACAAATGTTTACAAAACATCCCAGTAGTCCATCAACCCAGAAGAACATATCAGACTGATATTATATATGTAGTCCTGTAACGCTACTTAGCTCCAATTATACAGCGGCTCCTCAACTTACAGTAGAATTACATCCTGATAAACCCATCATAAGCTGAAAAAACCATGTCAATAATGCATTGAACACACCTAACCTACCGAATATTGCAGCTTAGCCTAACCTAACTTAGACATGCCTGGACACTTCCATTAGCCTACAGTTGGGCAAAATCATCTAATACAAAACCCATTTTATAATAACATGTTGGATGTATCGTGTGATTTATTGAATACTGTATCAAAAGTGAAATACGATGTAGCTGTACGGGCACTGGAAATGTGGTTTCTACTGACCGCCTATCACTCTGGCACCACAGTACAGTTAAGAAGACATCAAGCCATCATAAGTTGGGGATCATCTGTCAATATTTCTGTGTTTCTGTGGCTTTGGCCATGGCCAGGTCCTCTTTTGTCTTTGCTCAGGCTACACAAGGTCTTCTGGCCACAGTCTCACTTCCCTAAATCCATCCTCCATCCTGTGGCCATGGGTGTTTTAAATAATGCAAATATCATCTCCTTACTTCCACTTAGAACATCCCAGGGCTCTTCCTTGCCCGCAGGTTAAGTCCAGGCACCCTTCCCCCTGTCTCTGCAGAGTCCCATCTCTGTGATTAGCACTGATGCTCTGGATAGACCCACTGCTCCCCATTCCCTCCTCATAACTCTGTCTTTACAAAAGCACCTCCTTTGTCCCCCACTTTACATTCCATGGGTGACCCCCCACTCATCCTTAAAAACCAGGCTGACCATCATCTCCTCCAAGAAGGATTTCCTAAGTTTCCCTGAGCGATTCTGCTGTTTCCTCATGTGTGACGAGGCTGGGACTTGGCCTTATTCTTAGGCATTTATTTCAGGACAGTACAATAACATGTGAACACCTCACTGCTTCTATTACAGTGCACTCTGGAGGGCAGACATTGTTTGTTCATTCATATTTATTTCCTGGTGCCATGCACCAGTCTGGAAACATGCAAACTCTCAAGGAATTGTGTGTTGAGTGGATTGCAGCTCCTTGAGTAGGAGTGCTGGGGGTATGCGGGGAGCCCTCTGCACGGAACTGCACAAGCAGAAAGAACAAGAAGAAAGGAATCTGCCCTTCTCATCCTACAACTTCTTTGTAAAGAAAATTGTGCTCTAACTTTTTCAACGAATAAAGTCACCAGGAAAGGACATGTTTTTCCCATCTCTGCCTGGGTTCTCATGGGAGAGTAAAGTGATGGTGAGAAAAGAAAACTGTCTTGGGAAAGCGGAAGGAATAGGAACCGCCAGACATCGACATCAGGGTGTATGTCAGCTCTGCAGCTGTTGACTGTGGAGACATCCCCAACGCAGGACATGTTCCCTGGGAAGTAGTCAATGCTGTCGCTGGTGGCATCACCTGGATCATTGGTTAATGGGTCTGAGTCACTTGATCATTCCATGGCTATCACACTTATTTAATTTTCTAAAGACAGGAATGAAAATACATTTCAAGAAGAATACCAAAACAAAGTGCTGAGAGAACAAGCTATCTGTCCATTGTGTTCAAAGCATTCTAGAAAAATGCAAGGGAGGAGAAAAGCATAGCATCTAGGATTGTGTTAAAGACCAATGCCACCACTGAGGGATGTTCACTGCATGTCTTCTTTTCATAAGGTAGTGTAAAGGGAAACACATCTGTCCTTGCTCTCCAAGAGCATATAATCCAGTTACAGAGATAAGATACGTGGTAAGACCACGGAGATCTGTGTTGCAAGGCACACAGGGACCTTGCTGCAGGGAGATGTCTTCAGAACACTAAAGGGACCCTTGTACGTGGTTGGTGGGAATGTAAATTAGTGCAGCCACTTTGGAGAACAATATGGACACGCCTCAAAAAACTAAAAGCAGAGCTACCCTTAGATCCAGCAATCTCACTGCTGGGTATATGCCCAAAAGAAAGGAAATCAGCATATGGAAGAGAGATCTGTACTTTCTTGTTTATTGCAGCACAATTTGCAATAGCGAAGATTCAGAAGCAACTTGAGTGTCCACCAGCAGACAAATGGATAGAGAAAATGTGGTATATATACACAATGGAGTACTATTCAGCCATAAAAAAGAATGAGAGCCTGTCATTGGCGACAACCTGGGAAGGAAATAGAAGACATCATGTTAAGTGAAATAAACCAGGCACAGAAAGACACACATCACATGTTCTCACTCATTTGTAAAAGCTAAACATTAAAACAATTGAACTCATAGAGATGGAGGGTACAGGGATGGCTACCAGAGGCTGGGAGGGTAGTTGTGGGGAGGGTGGGTGGAGAGTAGAGATGGTTAATGGGCACAAAAATAGAATGAATGAGATCTAGCATCTGAAAGCATAGCAAGGTGACTAAAGCCAACGATAATTTATTATACATTTTGAAATAACTAAAAGAGCCTAATTGGAATGTTGGTAACACAAAGAAATGATAAATGCATGATACCTCATATACCCTGATGTGATAATTACTCATTGTATGCCTGTATCCAAATATCCCATGTACCCCATTAATGTATACACTTACCATGCACCCATAAAGATAAAAAATGAAAATAAAGGACAGTAAAGGAAGAAGAGGTTGCTTCTTTAATATTAATTTTTTTTTCTGAGATGGAGTTTTGCTCTTGTTGCCCAGGCTGGAGTGCAGTGGCACGATCTCCACTCACTGCAACCTCTACCTCACAGGTTCAAGCTATTCTCCTGCTTCAACCTCCCAATTAGCTGGGATTACAGACACGCACCACCACACCCGGCTAATTTTGTATTTTCAGTAGAGATGAGGTTTCACTATGTTGGTCAGACTGGTCTCGAACTCCTGACCCACCCACCTTGGCCTCCCAAAGTGCTGGGATTACAGGCATGAGCCACCATGCACCGCGGAGGTTGCTTTGTGAAGCTTTCAGAGCAAAGCTTTGGGTGAGTGCTTAGGGACAGGGGAGATGAGGGTGGACAGGAGAGCCGGGCAGCATCCCAGATGCAAGGAAAGTGATGTAGGGGGAGATTGTGGGATGAGTGTATTCATGTGACTGGGGCAACAGAGTGGGATGTAAATTGTGAGCAAATAGAAGAGGACCCACAATGACGGGTTAAATTCTATCCTGGTCCAGTATCTACTGCAGGTGACACACTCAAGGTCAGATTTTTAAAAGAATTGGTATCAACCAATAGGACATTTTGGGATTGAGGACATTTTGGGAATAGAGTTAGAATAACAGTGTCAGCATCATGTCATTTGAGAAGCAAGGATGATACAATGGAAAGAGCCCTGGACAAGCAGTTGACAAACTTTCCTTCTTGAAAAGTGTTTCTAGTGACAACTCCTCTCCCCTACTGCGGTGAGCCTGTGGACAAGCCCCTTCCACTCCCTAGGCTTGGGTTTTCTAATCTATAACGTTAGGGTATGGAGCTAAGCCCTTAGCCGTCCTCACGGGCCCTTCAAATCTTAAAGTCGGTATTTTTGTGATTCCAGAAGTAGAAGTTGAGAACAAGGATGAAGGAAGAATCAATGACGATTGGGAGATACTGAGCCTGAGTGAAGGAGGAGATGGAAATTATCACTGGCAGGAGCCTGGAGTGATGTGAGGGGTCGATGTGTGAAGATTCTAAGACAGTGCAGTCTGAGGAAATCAAATAAGGATTCCAGAAGGACAGGCATTATGCTGACTTCCCTTCCGAAGGCTTCTTGGAGGCGGGTAATTAGCTGAATTGGAAGGAGGAGGAGGAGGGCTTGGTGGATCAATGAAAAATGAAGCGCTCCAGGTGGCCTTCCCTCTCTGCACTAGGAATTGGTGTGGTGTTCTGCTTGTAAGTTCTTTGAGGGCTGTCTCCGATGAGGATGGTGAGGTACTGCAGAAATAGAACTGGACAGTGGGGCAGAGGCTGCTGCTGAGGCTGAGGATGGGTGTGCTTAGTGATTCGTCCACCGGAGGGTAAAAGCCTGGCCAGGAAATAGGGGAGAGAGACGCCCATCCAAGGCACACAGGCTCCTCCCATGTGGATAAGACACTGAAAGCTCAGGCTGGGCTTGCTGCGGCTGTGGTTCCAGGCTGGGCACAGAGTGGGCGGGTGATTATTATAAGCTGATGGTGTCGAAGGTCTGTTGTACACTACCGCATGGCTGGGGCTGCCCAGCAGCCTCCACACACAGCGCACCTCAGAACGGACTTGGGTTTCTCCTGTTTAGGATCCTTGCCTAATCACCATTCCTTTGCACTATTGAAAAAAGCAAGAGAAACAAGGTAATTGGATCGTCTCAGTCGTTTTCAGTTATGTAATGGACATTTTGTCTTCCTCTGCATAACACAAATGGCCCTCCATACTTCCCCTAATATTTACTGCAAAGCTACCTTGGTGATACCGATGCCGAGGTCTTGGGGAGTGACCACTCAACTCATCTTCTAAGGATCTCAAAGCAGATTTACTGACACTGGCTAATTAAGCTTCCCCAACCTGAGATGGGAACGGGGAAAACTGCACGGCTGTTTCAGTTTTTCTGTAGGAAAAAAGGTGCCAGTCATGCACTAGATGAGGCAAACGCATAGGAATGTGAGGAGGCGGACGCACTGGGAACCTCAGGAATGACAGGAAAGAGGTGTGGTCATCCTGCTTCTGGTCTCTGAATCCTGGGGGAAACATCCTCACTTCCCCGAAGAAGGGTCCCAAGCAGCATGGGAAGCATCGAGAGTCTTCCCTCTGGAGCGCACGTGCAGCACCAGCTGGGAGAGCTCCCCTGGCTTAGGAGCTTCCCCAGCCTTTGCTCACCTGCGCTCAGAGCTCTCACCTGATGCTTTCACTCAAGACGAACGTCTGCAGAAGCTGCAAGCATCAGTTCAAACCCAGCAATTGTCTTCGTGATTTCTTCTAACAATTTTTAAACTTAAAAGAAGCAGCAAATAGAATATATAAATGACAAATTCACAGAAGGGAAAAATAGGCCAACAAAACACTTGAAACCAAAGCCTGCTTGAAATTACCGGTAAGCAAAGAAAGGGGAATGAAAACAGCGATGCAGTGTATTCGCCCCTGTGGAGTTGGGTTGGGGTGGGTAATACTCACTGGTTGTGGCTGATTGGCACTCTTGCACACAACTGGTCAGAGCTCATATTTATATAAACTTTCTGGGAAGCAAATTAATAATCACAATATTATGTCTTTAAAATATGTATACCCCGAGACCCACAATTTCATTTCTAAGATCTTATACTGAGGCAACTCTGTTAGTATTATGTTCTAGCTGGGTGTGGTGGTAAATGCCTCTAGTCCCAGCTACTCAAGAGGCTGAGGCAAGAGAATTGCTTGAGCCCAGGAGGTCGAGGCTGCAGTGATCTGTGATCACACCACTGCACTACAGCCTGGGCAACAGAATAAGATCCTGCCTCTTAAAAAAAAAAACAAAAAAGTAGTATGATGTTCTGTGTTGATTAACAGAAACTAAAAAACAAATGGTTTCCATCAAATAGAAGTCTATTTATCAATTTTTGTGAGTACATAGTAGGTGTATATATTTATGTGAGATATTTTGGTACAGTCATCACATCATGGAGAACTGGGTATATGTCCTCTCAATCACTTATCCTTTGTGTTATAAACAATCCAATTATACTCCTTTAGTTATTTGAAAATGTACAATTAAATTCTTATTGACTATATCCCCTTGTTTTTTGGTCACATAACATGAGACTTAGAAGTAAGTAGTCCAGGGCTAGCATAATGGCCCTGTGATAGTGTCGGGATCCAGTTTCCTTCCCACTTCCTGCCACGCCCTCCCTAACCGATGGTTTTCAGGTCTTGGTCCTAAGATTGCTGCCCGCCTGTGCCCATTGTATCCATGTCCCAGGTGAGACAAAGGAACGGTCAACACAAACATGGAAGACCACAGGAACAGGTCAGTCACATCTGCTGCTCTCCAAAGGGCCATCCTGGAAGTACCACTCGGTATTTTCTCCTTACACTGTATTGACCAGACTTTGTGATATAAGAGTTGAAATAATTTAGCCTGGGATATTTCCACACTGAACAAAATCAGAGTCATCTTAACAAGGAAGAAAAGAAAAATAGATGTAAGTTAAGTAATTTATGGTATCTTTGACAATAGTTATTAAAGATTGCATGCAAATTTTATATACATTATATGATGTATGTAATATATAACACACATCTATGTATTTATGTATGTGTGTGTAGACAGATAAAATGGCAAAATAACTGGAAGACTCCAAAATTAAGCATTTGGTTCAGAGACATTGTAATAATCCATATAATAGAATTCATGCATTGGAATACTATTTAATTGATAAACATCAGGCCATAGAAGGATATTTCAAACTTGGCAAAACATTATAATGTATTACCAAGTAAGAAGTAGGCTCCATGCAGCATACATGGTAAAACACCAGTCAGGGAAGGAAAAATTGACATACGTAAAGAAACGTAGAAAAGTAGCTAGAAAGAAACATACCGAAATGTTAATGGTGATTACAACAGTGGGGAGTGGAATTATGAGTATCAGATGACTTTATGAATATCTTTGTGTTTTTATGAGTTTTCCAAGGTTTCTGCATTGAACAGATACTACTTTTGTAGTCTAAAAATAAAAAGCATTAAAAAAATAAAGAGGCAAATTTAATTTTTCCTAATGGAGTCCCAAGGAAATGAGTTGTTTCATGGAATTGAGCCAAAGCAACAGTAAGTTGGTTCTGGATTTGGGTGGTTGATATTCAAGAAGTTCAGGGTTTATTTGTGGTAAGCAATCGCATGGCCTCCTGCCAGAGGTTCTCGGCCTTCCATGTTAGCTCTAGGACAGGTAAACAGATGACAGTTAATGCACTTGGGTTTGTTTCTCATGTCATTTTACTTTCCTATTTCATCAAATGTTTAACATTATTAATTTTTAAACCATTTGGTTAAGATTAAAAAAAAAAAAACAGAATGCTACTGTGCATTGAGCTTACATTTCATTATTCCCTTGAAATGATGGTTTTATTTTTAACTTTTCATTTCAAATGTTTTCCTTTCCAGTTGTAATTGAAACAGCAAAAAAAAAAAAAAAAAAAAAGTTGCATTTCCTGGGGGAAAACAGTCTTTCCGAAAATGAACAGGCTCTTTATGACTGTGCAAACAATACAAGCACAGAGTGAACTGTAAGGGGGATCTATATTTGTGTTATGTACACATCTATATTTATATGATGCACATCCTAATAAGGGCACCCTGCAGCTCCAGGACCAGCTGGAGCCCTTCTGTTTGAAATCATTTAAAGTGCCACTGACGTCAAGTTGAAAGATACCACCGCACCCAGGTTCTAACAGGTGTTGCTAAGTCTGCATTTACTCATGGTTACATGCAGCTCTCTACAGCATGCAATAGCACCCACAACCTAAAACCTGAGGTCCTCGCTTTCTGTCCTGAGTGCCTGGGAGCTACATACCCCAGTAAATTACATATAGGTGGAAAACTTATGCTAAGGGAACCCAAGTTCTCTACCTAATGTTTTCAAGGTGAAATATTCATCTGTTTTGTAGACTAGGAAGTGTAATAAAAGGCTGAAGCCCTTTCTAGTAAGTTACCTGTAAACCATGTATTAGCCTTCACCCTTTTACTGAGCCTCCAGGGCCCAGTTTCTCATCTGTGAAGTGAGGGATAGGACTCCTGTCTTCTTGTGTTGCCACGTAGCAAGGCAGGGGGCGCCTATATGTAAATCGCTTCAGCCTCGTTACATGGTGACTACCCAATAAATGGCCGTAGTGATAGTTATTAGTAGTTATGGTCTATTTTTGTTGTCACATAGTATAATTCTTTGGAATGACCATTATCTGCTTTATCGGCTTATGTTTTTGAGGAACTTGGATCACCAAAAACCTAAAAATACTACAGCTTCCACTAAACAGACCAACAAATCAATAAACCAGTTTATCTAAGAATATTAAGGAAAGTCAGGAAGAACCACAACCATAGATATATATGTGTATATATGTTCATATATGTGTATATATGTGTATATACATATATGTGTATATATATGTATATATATGTCACAGAGCTGCAAACCTACATATATATATGTATGTATGTATTTCTGAGATGCTGGAACAGCCACCTCTCATTATTTACCCTTCTAAGGACCCCTCCTTATTGATCCTTAACATCATTTACCCTCTTAGTTTTTCTAATCCCTTCTCAGCCGTACTTACCAGGAGGGTTCACACATTTATTTGGTGACACCTAAGCCTAAACGAGTTTATGAGGTCATTTTGTATGGTCCTTTTGACAATATGAGAAGATGAGATTGAGAGAAAATGATAAAAGGGAATTCTAACACACTGACACGGAGAAAGGTGTGGTGGAATAGAAAAGGGTGGTTAATCTTAAATCACCGTTCTGCTTAAGGAAAATCCAAGTCTAGTGTGTTCCTGGTAACTTTTGGAATGAAAGTGTAATGAAACATTCTACAAAATTACCATGATAACAATAAGTATAAGCTATAATCCAGTTCTTAGAACAATTTACACAGCACTTTTGCATTGATCGTCTTGCTAACTTAGGTCAAATAATCCATCATTCATTCATCTAGTAATGCAAAAAAAAATTGTATGTTGTTTTCTGGGATCTGATTTTTTAATACCATGAACCAGGTCCCTATTTCAGTGTGTAGCCTGATTACAGGTTAGATCTGCCCAGCTCAGACCATCATCTCACAGATGTGTGCTTACCCCAAACAGTGAGATCTTTGACTATTTATCACGGTTACTCTGGGGGAATGAAAGTCCATCCTGTGGGCAGTGGATGATCTTTCGGTATGAGTCAGAGCTGCCCTTTAATTTTTTCTCAAACCTAGATTTATACGTTTCTTGTAAAGATAAATGACATCATAGATGGGGTCATCTGCTTATTTTTATCTTCTTTAATTCTTTGTGAGATGATGGCATTGGCTGAATGACAAGAGTGTGCCACTTCCACAAAGCTGCAGATTGTCCAATGGACTCTAGTCCCTGTGAAAACAACATGGATTCAACTTGTTATTCACATAATCTCTTGAACAGTGAATATTGCTAAGCCCAGGCCTCAAATGAGCCACACATTGGTGCTCTCTGGGGGTTCTACCCAGAAAGGCTGGTTATTGCTGCATCAGGGATGGGGGAAGGTGGGACTCCTGCAGGCACTCTTCACGTGTATGTGATCCACATCTTCAGTTCTCCTCAACATCGAAGTCAAAAGAAGCAATGCTGTTACTCGAATACAATGATCAAAATGAGGATTAGACATTTGTCTTAATTCAAAAGAAAGAGCAAGTTGTATTATTTGATATCCAGCCTTACAAAAAGCAATGTATGGGAAAGAAAAACCTAAAGAAGGCACTTGGGGAAAAGGAAAACAAGTTCTGTCCAGGGAAGGAAAGTAGTGATGGGATTGGGTTGCTTTTCTTTGAAAATTCTCCGCTTTACAGGGAAGGTATGTTTTATGTTATAAATTAAGCTACATTTAATCCCTTAGCAATGTATCCCTGAGACATTATTATGGGCTTGCATTTGTCATGGATTCTATTGAAATATGTTCATTATTTTTTCCAAAAATATGAAATAGAAAAAGGGGCTTTCACGGGCTCTAAACACCAGATTTCATTATCTGCATTTAGAGCGAGGAGAGATTTGTCAGAGGTTTCAGGCAGTGACTAAGAACTCAGAAGTAGGAGGGAAGAATAAGTACTGACAGCTTGTTCTTGACCTGCCCAGTTATTTCAACCACAGGAAGGGTTTTTAAGATTCTTTGCATTATCATTATTTGGTGACTTATACTGTGGGTTAATAATTCCCTTTTTCCTACTTCTCTTGCTCCTCATGGGCCAGCATAGATCAGGGGCTCAGGGACCTGCCAGCTCAGATGTCATTTCCTCCTCAGTGGGGGTCACAACCTCCACATGTGCTTCCTGAATATGCTTGAGAAGAATGTTATCTGGCGATGGAGCTGCTGGCTGAGAGATCTGGTTGAGGGATGGTGTTTTAGCCTGAGGTTTCTTGGAGAATTTCAATCCTAGCCCATTTCCGAGGATAACAATGCTGAACCCATTGGCTGTTACCCTTTGAGGAGCGATTTTCTTCACCATCTAAACAAACCTGTTGCATATTAAAATTCAGTGCTCCTGTTCTCACTTATAACTGGGAGCTAAATGATGAGAACACACAGACACATAGAGAGAAACAACACACACCAGGGCCTATCGAAGAGTAGAGGGGAGGAGGGGTGGAGAGGGTCAGGAAAAGGAGCTAATGGGTACTAGGCTTAATACCTGGGTGATGAAATAATCTGCATAACAGACCCCCATGTACCAAACCTGCAATGCACTCCTGGATTTAAAGGTTAAAAACCCCTCAGTGCTCCTATGACATTTGATATATTTGGATTCTTCTTCACGGTTTCTTTAATGTTAACCACCTTTTTACTATCAACATCAGGGAAGTGTCATGGCCTCATATTCCTGAGTTTCATGTCTTTACTGACCAAGATCAAAAGCAGCTTTCTCCAAGGCAAGTGCATTCTCTCCAGGCCGCTTCTATTCCATATATTTGTTTATGCTGGCATTGTAACATATTAATATTTTTCCCATTATCAAATTTTGTGAGAATATCAGTGGTACATTTTAAAATCTAATAAGCATTATCAGATGCCTTTTGAAGATCATCTCTCAAATTATAGCCCTAATACTGAAAGATTTTTAGCCATATTTTGTTTAATTAGCTTTCTTCAATGTGTTGATATTTTATTACTTAGAAACCCCCAACCCCCCGAGCCTTCAAATGACTTGTTCCCTGAACATGAAGAATAAAATTGGGGCAGTCTGTCCTCACAATATTTTCTGGTCCAAAGCAATTTCAGATGAATACATGCTTT